GAAATCTGCGCAGTAATCTGCATTTGAGATTACAGCATAAAACAAATAGAGCTACATCAAAGATTAAATACAAGGAACATTATACCCAACAGAGGACAAGAATACATTACAATATAAATATAAGCTGACATGCCTGTGACCAGTTATCTACTTTCTGACTGTTTTTCTTGTGCAGGCAAATGAAATATATGGGAAGACTATGGATACATGTATAAGAATATTTACACATATGAGAAGTCCTATTTAAGATGTTAGCATGGTCAAAGATGAATTCCATTTATACTGTTTTAGTTTGAATAATATAAATAGGAATTGTATCTTTAACCATTCCAGTGAGCAGTAGGGTAAACAGCAGTATCTGAGTACTCTAAATTTATAACACTAAGTTTTCAGTATCTCCTTGAGGCCATCTAATGGCTATCTGAATTTCTGCAACTCTGATACAAAAATCCTAATGAATGACGACGCATTGTCGTTTTATCATCTCTCTCCAAAATAGCAGACATTCTTGCAATTGAGGGTAATCTAATTCATAATTTAATTATCCTACCCCAGATGACTTGGACTATATAAAGTTCAAATGAATATGGCCAATAAGCAATGACTGAAGTTACTAATTAAAGGTATGATTTTTCAAAAGTGTGCATCCAGAGTGCATCACTCCTAATTTGAAAATTGCTTCCCTAATTATAGTACTACGTATGCTCCAGTTTGCCCAGTGAGCACATAACCATCCTAACTGGGCAACATTATACCTGAAAATATTACTGTAGTTAAAAAAAATATTACTGTAACAAACTGAAACTATAAGAATGCGATTACTATGCATCTGCCAAAAAGTAAGTATTGTACTAAATATCTTGGATTTATAAATATACATATGCTGTGGAAGCATAGTTCCTTGAAACCCATTTACACACTTCAGCAATATCAACAAAAAAACTGGGATGGGGAAGAGGATTTAGAAAATATTAAAATGTAATTGGGGCAGTGTATTTTTCTCCTCAGTAAGTTTGAGTGCCTCGCTTAGATTCTGAAAGTAAAATTAGGAGGAAAGCAGCCTGCCATGTTTCTCCCCATGTTTACTGTTCAGTTTATAGATTTCAAGGACCTGGCATTTCAATTTCAGCAGTGATGATCTGGAATACACTTTTATTCAGTTTTTATTGTATAACAGATTAGAAAGTCCTATTTCCAGAACAAGTCACTTCAGCAAGAATAGCCCAAAGACATTATTTTATATTTAACTTCTGTGTAAAAATTGTGATGTTGGATTGGGACAGGCTAAACAAAGAATTCAGATGATTGTATCAAATGTAAAGAACGGAGGGGGAAAAAAACAGCAGATAAACAGAACTTGTAAAAAAATGGCCTCCCATGATAAGTCCTAATGATTAAATTTAGGGCTGATTCCATCTACAGCTTATCAGTAATGTAACAGAAAATAGATCAAGCTCTGTGGGACTACTCAGTTTGGTTTATCTATTTTCTTCATTGAATAAATTTAAATCAGTTGACTTGGTAATAGGCACAGAATATTTGATAGGATTTTAGGATTTTAATCTGGCTCATATCTAAATGGACATTTTCAAAAAGAAGCTTCTAGAAATAAATGTAGCATGGAAGAGTCCTTATGCTTATGGCATCCCTAGCACACCACTTTTAATATATGCTAACCTTTTTTCCTCCTGCCTATAACATCACCATGTCAAGACACCTTGAATACTTTTATAAGTAGACAAGCCTGATATAAATCTAACAAATAAATATATTAGGAAATCTCAACATGCTGTATTCAATAGCCAAGCTTGAACTAGAAGCCTCTTCAGTTTTGTCAGACTTAGGGCACAAACCTCTGATTGCCCCTTTCTCCTAGTTGTAGATTGGAAATGCAAAGGAAAAGTATTCCCAATAAAAAACTGCCATCTTCTGAAATGCAGATACTCTTTCTTTCTTGCCAGGTAGTTTCATTATTGCAATTGCTTAGGTTAAATCAAGTGATACTTTGGCTCTTCTTGCTTGTTTTTAGTTTAGCCATTCAGAAAAATCGGAGACTGAGTATCTCTGACAATCCAAATAACGTATTTCTCTAAGAGTTAAGAACCAATTTGTACTACAAGCTTAGATAGAGGACAAGAAAATGGGGCAAGCTAAATCTGAATCAGTAATTATTAAAGGAAGTCATTGATCCCACTCTAAATAAAAATCATTTGTGGGTCACCTGGAAAGCCTTTGCTGTAGAAATCAGGGAGGAAAAGTGGTGGCAAAGAGGGAGGGGCACCACTACTAAGAAGGAACCAAGCAGCTTTGCAGGAGGAGGTTAATCCAAAAGAAATCAAGCAGTTTTGCAGATGTGTCATGCAAGATGCAACACCCTATATAATCTGAACGAAATACAATATTTATATAAAGGAGTCAAGGAAAAAAGCAATTTATTAGTGCAGTCAGCACAACTGAACAATAAAACACAAAATGCAACCATGATTTGGATACTGGCAGAAGACATGACAATTTCTATTGGATGTTTTAAAGCACAAGGAAGAGCAACAGCAGGACACTGAGGAGAAAGACAAGGTGTGTTAGGAGAACAACATTAAGAGATGCGGTTAGCTCAAGATGCAGTTATTAGGTTGGATTTAGCAGCTTTTTTCAAATTCCTGAGCAACAGGGACTCTTGGTTAGAAGTAATCTTCAACAAATAAATCCCCTTTCAAAACATGTCATATTACAGACATGAACACAACCCATTCCACCCCTAAAACTGACCTGATTTTTGATGCACATTCCAAGTATTTTAACATGACTTACAAAGAGTAGTACTATTCAAGGAACTTTTAAGATACTTATAATTCACAGCACTAGAAACAGTTATCAGGGATAGACTTGGTTTCTAAAACAAAACTCTACCATCAAAGAGGTGTGGACGAGGAAGAAGAGAGAGGAAGAACATAAAGCAGTATGTCAGCAAAGATTAAAATGAAAGATTGCGGGAAATGAGGACCCAGCAGAGCTGAAAAATGATGCAAAACCCATCCATCAGATTTGCAAAGAAGGCCACCAAACTGAGTCTTCAAAGCACAGGCATAAAAGAAAATCTGAAACAGCATCTGCCTGGCAAATGTTGAGAATTATTCACAATCTTTTATTTGTACAAATGATGGAAGGAAAAGAGTTGCTTTTGTTAGGTGACTGAAATTGAACTACTGTATCTTCCTCCAGGGTCCCCTCTCTCTTCTCTTTCATAGAAGACGTTGCCAGTAACCAACAGGAATGAGAACCGTATTGCTATAACATGGATTCTCCACCATGGGCTCATCATGTAATATTAGGCCGCTTACTATTGCACATAATGAGAAAATTTCCCATGCTGCTTCTGGTGAGAGCACAAGGTCTTCTCAAGCCATTGTTCCCACTGAGGATTTCTGGAGCAATTTTCTTTATCCCAGACATCTGAAGAAGCAACTGTTTGTCTGACATGATCCAAATTCTGCACCATTGCAAACCTCTGATACCAGAGCGTTAAGAAAATCTGTATTAAACACTAGGAGAAGAAAGTCAAGCCTGGTTTAAATATTCCTAGTCACATAAGAATATTTAGCCTATGTAATATATGAAAGCCACTCAGAATGGACTGTATAGCAAAACACTTCAATCACAGCAACTTTAACTGCTCCTTTATCAATGCATTTATTCCTTGTCCTCAAGAACTCCAGCAGAAATGTTTTAAGCAATTAACAAATATTTAAAGCATTGGAAGTTGATATATATATAAAAACAGAAACCAAAGATGGCAAATAAATTAAATTTGTCAGGTAAACTAAATTTGAAGCCATTCCTAGCTACTGTATTTAAAAAAAAAAAAAGAAAAACATACAAGCACAAAAATAATACAAAAGACTAAACACAATCAAAATGTGAAAAAAGAAAATAAATACAGATGATTTTTCAAAATAGGCAACGTAATGAGATTACATAAATCTGAGTCCATTCTTCTTTTTGTGTTTTCTTCAAAAGGTTATGAAAGTTGATACAACTTTAAATGGCACATGCAATTTAGAAGGACCATTTCTGATCGGGTGGAGTGATGTGTACGATTGAAGGCTTGCTTCTTATCAGAAAGGAGAAGTCCACCAAGCATCCAAGATGCTTCAGCAACCTTTCAAGAGCATGGAGAAAACTGAGCTCTAGACGTTAGAAGAATCACATTTTATCCTGCAGTGGTGGTAACAATGCTGCAAAGCTAAAGAATGTGACTTCCTTTGAAAACCAAGCCACAATAGGAAAGGACCGCTTCTTAATGTAAACACATCCAAAATGAGTTGCAGATTGTTCTCCAAACGATGCAGCTTTTTGGCTCCACAAAACAGTTTACATTGAAGGATCTATTGATGCATACATTTGGCATTACTTACAACTCCGACTTGGCATCTGTATTCTCATGTTTTACTTTTCCCTTCGCTGAAAATCCCTCTCCACATAAAAGCTTAAAACTTATCTTAAAAGTACTGTGTAAATCCCATTACTTCACAGAGATGCCTTAGAGGAGAGAAGCCAAACGGACCTGGAAGCGATGGGCTAAAATTCTTCAGGATAACTTTCAGCTTCTCAAAATCTTAAGCCATGGTTTGTTTACAGATCCAAAACAGGAACCAGGCTACATAGGCCAATGCAGTCATATCAGGAGTTCAAAGACTTTATATGACTGAAGACCACAGCTCTTTCTGGAACAGGGAGGAACTTGTGCTCCTTTGTAGACATTTGGAAATCTTTGTCAACATCAGACCAGGGTTAATGACCATAAGGAGAAGGGAGTGCAGCATGGCATTTTGCATAAATTCCTGGGCTCATGCCCAGTATAATTAAGGAGTAGCATTTTATTCAACAAAGAGAGGAATGATGCCCTGATATAGCACAACAAAACAGAATCAGTGGGCTTAAGAGTTGGAACTTCTCTCTCTCTTATATATATATATATATTTTATATATATATGTAAGTATGTATGTATGTATGTATGTATACAAGCACGCTGTTTTATCATCTCTGTCGAGTCTTTAAATTTCCTCCACTCCATGTGCAAATATCATCACCAGGCCTGGTTCTAGCACCATCTCCTCTCCCATGTGCTGATTCTCACAGGCCATCACAACCACAGCTTGTTTGCCTGGGATGCGTTTGGCCACATAGTTTTCATAATAGCGTCGGTTCATCTGGCGAGTTTCTAGGGTGGCCAAGCCCTGGGGCCAGTTCCGTTCATGGGCATTTTCAATCAATTCATTGATGATGGATGTGGGGCATCCACTTTCCACCAAGGAACGCTTGATTACAGCTTGGAGCACAGCATCTGGTGTAGAGATCATACCACCCCACCGGGTTACCCGGGCTGGCTGCAAGGAATTCACCCACCTAGGAGTCAAGCGAAAAGAGTCACACAATGAGAAAAGAAAAACAGATGAAACCAACAGCATTACAATGAAAGCCTGGACAGCAACATTTCTTCTTCTTTTTTGCGGGGGGAGGGGGTATTTCTGATCAAGTAGATGATAGTTGCCTCCCAAACAATCATGATGAATAATGTTCAGGTCTATTTGGACTACACCCTGTCATTAAGCACAAAGTATTATATTTCTATCGTAAAATTAACTTCATCTAGGGAAACAGAAAGCCACCGGGCAAATATTTCAAACTTTTCACTTAAAAAAAAAAGTGTCTTTCAAACTTTATACAGTGATCTTGGAGATGTTTTGAAGGCTTATTTTCTTTATGGCAGCCATGAAGAACCTGGGTTCATCCAAGCACTCGATCCCTTAATAAATCTAGCCTGCATAGCCACCGATGAAGAAATTGTCCTACTGGACTTCCTGTTGACCCTCATAAGCTGTGATCTCTCTAGAACAGGGGCGTCATACTCGTATCGTCATGGCAGTGTCACGTGACGTATCGGGACTTTTTTTTCCCCTTCGCTAAACCGGGCAGGGACAGGGACAGCACATGATGCATCTGGCCTACGGGCCGCAAGTTTGACACCCCTGGTCTAGAACAATCTCTCATTCCTGTGGCTCTACATTGTGTAGGATGATGCACCAGGACTTATCCTGAAATCACTGCTTCTGAGGTTTACTCTTAAGGCGATGACATTATGAATCCTTCTAGCATTGCTCCCAATTCTATTTGTCCTAATTTGTTTGGGAATATATTTTTATCTACATAATCACTCGCATACCACCCATTTCCCAGGGTGGTTTACACAATCAGGCTCTTTTGAAATGAGAACTATGAAGTCTCAAAGCCTTAATAATTCTAACAATGGGACACCAAAGTAGTATCAGTTGGTAATCCAGACATGTTCTTTGGCACTAGATAACATCTTCAGTGGAATTCAGTGTCTGTGTTCTGCTCATAAGGGCTTCATGTGGTCAGTAGGTCTTGTGATGGTGATGTCATATCAGGTGTGGGTTATGTCAAGTGAGGGTTGTGATGGGTCTTGTGATGGGAATCATGTGAGGGTCATTTGGAGGTGAAGAGCTGGTTGAGGGGGTTGCATGGGTTGGTTGATGGTTGGTGCCGTCTCTGGTTAGCTGTGTGGTTGATTTGAATTCTGAGGGGTTCATAGATTGGTTGTAGGTTGATGTGTCTGTTGATGGAATTGCTTGTGGAGTGCCAGGCTTCAATAAACTCGTGAGCATAGCGGGTGGTAGCATGACCGGTGATGCTTGTATCACTCCAATTGAATTGGTGCTGTTCAGTGTCAGCGTGGGTAGAGATTAGGGATTGGGAATCGTGGCTTTGGGGAAGTATTATGGGCTCCTGAGTGCTTTCTGAGCTTGTTTGCTTGCAGATGTTTCATCTTCATTCAGCATAATGTCAAGTATTACCTTGAGTGCTAGGTTTGAACAACCATACTTGATAGCATAACATATAAATGTACCCCATATTTTTTCCTACAGAAGTTTGCTCTAATTCTCAATTATTTCCCACCACTATTCACTATTGCCTTTTCCAACCCACACCACAACTCTTCCAGTCCAGCACTAGTGAGATATTAGTACTTACTCAAGGATTTCATTATATTCAATAGTCTCCTCCAAATTCTGCAGGTTGGGATTGACACTACGTATCGCTCGCATGTATGCTTTTAACAACTGTATGTCCCGTTTCTGCAAAAATGGATATTACATTAACTTAACTAATAGGACCCAGAGGCTACCCTGCATCAATAAAAAATGTCCATGATACATTGCACACAGCTTAATTTACTATAGTAATCACTAACATTTATTAATGTTCAACACTTTACAAATTAACAGTGTGCAGCAATGCAGATTCAAAGCAGAAATGGAGATTTGAACTGCACTGGGTGTCCTGTGACCTATCAGCAACTTCTTGAACAAAGCTGCCTCTTTTCCCAGGCTTGGATTTTGGGTCCAGGAGAAGGCATATTTGATTCAAAAAGATGCAGACAGGATCCATGTGACTTCCTCCCCACATATTAAATCACGTTTAGAGTCTAAAATGTTGCACGATGCTAATATACATGTCCAGGGAATACAGGTAGTCCTTCACTTGCAACTTGTTCACTTAGTGATTGTTTCAAGTTACAACAACACAAAAAGGTGATTTACAACTAGTCCTCGGACTTACAACCATTGCAAAAATCCCCATGGTCACGTGATCAAAATTTGGTAGCTGCCATGCATTTATGACAGTTGCAATGCCTTGGAGTTACACAATTTCCATTTGCGATCTTCCCAGCCACCTTTCAGCAAGCAAAGTCAATGGGGTAACATTGATTCACTTAACGACTGCAGGGATTTCCTTAACTGCGGCAAAAAAAGATCGTAAAACTGGGTGCAACTCATTTAACAACTGCCTTGCTTAACCATGGAAATTCTAAACAATGGATCAATCGTTGGTCATTAAGTCAAGGATTATCTGCATACGTAACTCTCAACTTACAACCATTTGTTTGGTGTCCATTCAAGGTTACAACAGCACTGAAGAAAGTGACTTATAACTGGTTTTCACACTTATGACCGTTGCAGCATCCCTGTGGTTAAGTGATCAAAATTCAGATGCTTGGCAACTGGCCTGCATTTATGATGCCTGCAGCGTCCTGGGGTCACATGATAGTCTTTTGCGACCTTCTGACAATGGGGAAGTCAGATTCATCTAACAATCATTCTACAAACTTAACAACTGCAGTGACTGACTTAATAACTGCAGCAAGAACAGTCATAAAATGGGGCAAAAGTTACTTAACAACTGTCTTGCTTAGCAATGGAAATTTGGGGCCCAACTGTGGTCATAAGTCGAGGACTCCCTGTGTTCACAATTAGGCACATTTTCACTTCAGTAAAAGATGTACAAAGAAACTTTCTAAAAATACAGCCCCGTTCTCATTCCTCTTGTTTAGAAAAGGTCAGTGGATCCTTTAAACCACTTGGCCATTTGACAACGGAAAGAAAATGCAATACCTGCTCTGCTAATTGATGCTTATGTTCTGCAGACGTCTTTTCCAATTCAGCTATTCTTGTCTGTTGCTGCTGCACTACCGACCGTAAATGTTTTATACAGTTATGATTCGGCAATTCGTCTTTGGGCATTTCCAAGCTGCACAGAGAAGTAACTACAATTGAGTGCCTAGAAAAAAACTGTTTAGGTGGATAAGCAACCAAGAACAGAGGTAAAAGACTCTTGCTACTCTAAGAAAACTGAGCTTGAAAATAACAACTCCCAGGCTACCAGCTGCCAACACTGTGCAATTTGGTTTATCAGATGCATCACAAAAGCCATTTCACATTGACAAAGCAGACGGCAGTTATTGCTGCCCTCACTAATGTTCTAGATCATGCTGTCATGTGTGATCTTTGTCATCAGACAAGCAGGGAATGATGACACTGCTGGGTCGTGCAGACATACATACACAAATTTGGCAAGTACTCACCCGCATCCCTGTTCACAGGTCACAGGCCGCTTTGGATTGTGTTCGCAGTCATTGAGGTGAGACATCAGGTTGTCAAGCCGCACTATAGAAGTGCAGCCAAAAACAGCGTTGTCACACGTGATTTGCAGCTTAGATAGCATATTACGCATGATCCGGGGTACAGGGCGCAGGTGAGCCACAGTCACAACGCTTCGGTCGACAGGACACGTCTGCTGTTGAGAGAACCACTGGGTGATACAGGCATTGCAAAAAGCGTGCTCACAATGAGGCGCCTGTGTAGAGAACAGAACCATGCCAAGTTAGATTACATCAGGTTTGCTGCTCAAGTTGATGTGGACTCCTAGCTTTCCATGCAGCTTCTTTCACTGAATGCTTTTCACTAATAGAATGGGAAATACTGCAGGACAGAACATCCATCGATCAATTAATGTAACCAAGCTATCAAGGGCATATAAGAACATCAGTTCATTCTGGTTGTCGTAGTGAGAACCTATCAGGGAAAAGATGTAAAAATCACCCAGCATAATTATTCACTGTCAGGTGTTAATTTCTGTCCTTCACATCAACCCTATTACAGATTACCAATTTTGCCAATTCTGGATTAGTATAAATAAGTGTGAGAAAAGATATATAGTTACTTCCTTGTATCTTATTCCAATATACCCTCGAAGTAGAAAAAAATGATTTGATATGAACACCCCAAATGTACGTCCCAAAACAGAAAGCACAAAGTCAAGCCTCTAAATATGGCAGAGTTGTCATTCCAGCTTTTCCAAGTATAATTTATTTACATGTTAATATACGTTATAAACTTAGTTCTTTGTCTCTACTTCCAAGTATTGTTGTTTGGAGGAAATGAAGATGATTAATTTCTAAAAGAGCTAAATCAGGCTAAGGTCCGGGACCAGGTGGCCTACCAAGCAGATTCTATAAAATTTTTGAAGATCAATTACTTCTTCCAATGAAGCACTATTCTATTTTACAGGGGAATCTTATACCAGACGATTGGAAGGATGCATACATTTCTTTAATACCCAAAGATGGACTGGGTTTAATTTCTGTGAAGAATTATAGACCAATCTCTTTCCTTAATAACGATTACAAATTCTTTACATCTATTTTAGATGAAGTTTTACAGGATTATATACATGAAGACCAGTGTGGCTTCTTACCTAAAAGACAACTGAAAGATAATGTAAGAGTAATTTTGAATATAATTGAATATTTACAGCAATGTAGCGACAAACAGGTTGCATTAATCTTTCTGGATAAAGAAACAGCTTTTGACAATTTGAACTGGGCCTTTATGTTTAAAGTACTGGAAAAGATAGGTTTTGGATTGGGCTTTATACAGGTTCTGAAGTCCATCTATGCGCTCCAGAAAGCTCAAATCATGATGAATGAAGACTTTACAAAATCGGTTCAAATCCAAAAGGGAACAAGGCAGTGGTGTCCTTTATTCCACTTTATTATTTATTTTAGCGTTGGAACTGTTAAATAGAGATGCTAGACAAGATAACAGAGCAAAAGGACTACAAATTAAAGCATAATTCGCATGTTTTTCCTGAAAATAAGACTCAACCAGAAAATAAGCCCTAGCATTTTTCAGGATGTTTGTAATATAAACCCTATCCCCCACCGCTCCAATTAAGATTGTCAGCCCTCCGGGGGTGGGGGAGAGAGTATGACCAGCACAGGAGGCAGTGAACGTGCGGAGGCTGATGGTGTCCAGCAGCAGCCGCAGTCTACAGTCCCCTTGGCTGGCACTCTGGGGTTGCGTAGCCTGCGCAGCACCGGTGCGTCTGAGCACTGTGACCACCGGTCCGGCCTGCCAAGCAACAGGTGGAGGCAAAGGCACAGAGGGAGGCACATGATCTGACCTGCTGGATACACCACACAGCCGGGTGCCCACTCTGTCCCACTGTCTGTCTTTGCTTGCCTGCAACCGCGATGGGGCAGGTGGCTGCGTGGCATGTCTAGCAAGCTGGATCGCCTGCCTCCGCTTGGAGGGCAAGTCCCGCGGTAGCAGTACTCTAACTCACCTGCGCTGCTCAGGCTCCGTAGCTTCACAGTGTGCCGGCCAAGGGGTCGGCAGGCTGCAGCTGCTGCTGAACACCATCAGCCCACACACGCCCACCGCCTCTTATGCATCATGTGATGATCTGCTTTATGACCATCACAACTTATCACAGTAAGTGGCAGGCTCTATTACAGATGTAATTCAAGAACCTCTCATATTACTTTCAGTTCTACAATAAGGTTCCTACATGTTTTTCTTGGGTTGTCTTAGATTTTCCCTACATATGTTGCACTAAACACACCTTTGCCTGCCAAGCTTATACCTTATGCTCCCATGTGTGCCTAAAAGGAAGCTGCAGAAAATCAACCAGCTGAAGATCAGAAGATTACAAATTTAATAAAGTATCTCTGAAATAACAGAGTCCGAATGTCTGTTTCCCTTTAAAGGCAGAATGTAGCCACATAGCAAGACACTCATAAAACGTTAAGAATTACATTGGGGTCAGGACACAGTCTTATCATAACTAAACCACAACTACTGCAGAGCAATATTAACTCATACAAAGCAATATTCTCATGATTTTAGTCTCCGTGATTTGCAAAGCAGCATCCTGTGTTTCTGTGAATGGGAGAAAATTTTACCAAAGTCTTCTGTGCCATTCATACCATGAAGAACAAATGTTAAAAATATCCTAAGCAAAGCCAGGTTAAATACTAGAATATTTTTTCAGAATATATATATATATATTATTAACTGAAATTCTGCATCCTCCCCACTAACATGCTTATACCTGCTAAATGGAGTACCAGGATGCTGTCATCTACTAATTATTATCAAATTACATTCTTATACCTGCACTATGTAGGTCTTAATTATGGCTTCACAGTTTGTTTTATAGCACTGTTGTAAAAACTATTCCTAAACAGCAGCAAAAAAAAAGTAAATAATGATACAGACTCTATATAAGATAGTAAAAAGAGTCAGATCAAGTTTCCAGTATAAAAGAACATTCTTTTATATAGTTTTTATCTTTTTAAGATTGTAAGTTGCCCAGGGTTACCTTATGGTAAGATGGGTGGCTAATAAATTTTACAAATAAATAAATATTTACATGTAAGACCTCTTTGCATGGAGAATTTGTTAATAATTCAGCTTTTCTTATGAACCCTCATAAGGATAAACTTTCCTTTTACAAGCACTCCTTATAATAGCTAGCGATTGGACCTCAGCCATTTAATTTTTTTAATTTACCATACAAAATATTTTTTTTACTTCAGCAAAGCAAAATTAATGTTATTAAAAAACTATTTACCTTTATGACTTCATTATTCGACAACCAATTATTTATCTTGCCTTATTAAGGGAAAAGATGGTTTATATGGCATTAAGCTGATGATAGCCAGAAGCAAAGATGAATATATACTTACAACTCCCAGACAGTAATTCCACATTGCTCATAAATTATGCTGGTATATTCAATTCTATGCTTACGGCAATGGAAACTTTTGCTGTGTCATACTTGATCTTAGCCAAAAGGCCAAGAAGCCAAAGCTGTCTCACACTACTCACTATATTATTTCCATTAACCTTACAGTACAAGACTTTCTAATGTGTACTGAATGAACAGATTTTGAAATATAGGTTAGATTGCATAATACTGCAATAACCAAAGAATGTATCTAAGAAAAAAATATTTAACTCATTCATGCAAAATGATCCTGGAGATACAGTTGAATTCTTAGCTGCCTCAAATAGAATGAAGTACCTCACCCTTCAATGCAAATCACTTTGATTTCTACTTTACTTTTTATAAAAATAAGAATAAAAATTCTAAAACTTCAGTAGGCAGGTTGTCCCTTAATGACAATCTGAAAATAGGCCTGATACAGTTCAAGCCTGATATGTCTGGTTTTTATAATACTGTACATTGAAATACTGAAAAATTACTTTTTAAAACTGATACTAGCTTAAAAACCACAAATCTTCAGAATAATTATCAGAGAATGTAATAGTTTTATTTCTATAATATTTATTAAGCTCCTACACTGAATTTCATCCTGTATTTTGAACTATGTGTTAAAAGCTACTTTAATCAGTTACACGGGTGTAACATGTAGAAATCAGCTTGATTGTGGGATAAAATCTCCATGAAAAATACTCAAACAAAATCTAGATCAGGATTGTCCAACCCGCGGCCCACGGGCCACATGCGGCCCAGGTCGCCTCGTAATGCGGCCCAGTGCCCACCCCAACCATCGTGCCACAGCCAGCGAGAAGGAGGAGGAGAGGCAGGCGCGAGGCGGGGCGAGGCGAGCGCCAGGCCAAGCAGCAAGAGAAAAGGCAGGCGCCGTCAGAGTGCCAGCTCCTGCTGTTACCGCCGCCGCTTCTGCCCCTGCCACCGCTGCTGCTTCTGTCCCCGCTGCCGCCGCTTCTGCCCCGCCGCCACCCCCGCCGCTTCTGCCCTGCCACTGCTGCTGCTTCTGCCCCCACCGCTGCTGCTGCCCCTGCCGCTTCTGCCCCCGCCGCCACCCCCGCCGCTTCTGCCCCCGCCGCCGTCGCTTCTGCCCCGCCGCCACCCCCACCGCTTCTGCCCTGCCACTGCTTCTGCCCCCACCGCTGCTGCTGACCCCGCTGCCGCCGCTTCTTCTCCTGCCGCCACCCCCGCCGCTTCTTCTCCCGCCGCCACCCCCGCCGCTTCTGCCCCCACCGCCACCGCTTCTTCTCCCGCCACCGCTGCTGCTGCTGCCCCCGCGGCGGGGGAAGAAGCGGCGGCGGTGGCGGGGGAAGAAGCGGCGGCGGGGGTGGTGTCGGGGGCAGAAACGGCGGCGGCAGAAGCAGCAGCGGTGGCAGGGGAAGAAGCGGCGGCAGCGGCAGAAGCGGCAGGGGTGGTGGCGGTGGTAGAAACGGCGGCGGCAGAAGCAGCAGTGGTGGCGGGGGCAGAAGCGGTGGCGGCGGCGGGGGCAGAAGCAGCAGCGGCGGCAGGGGTGGCAGAAGCGGGGGCGGGGGCGGCGGGGGAAGAAGCAGCATCAGTGGCGGGTGAAGAAGCAGTGGCGGGGGCAGAAGCAGCAGCGGCGGCGGGGGCAGAAGCGGTGGCGGCGGCAGGGGCAGAAGCCTTCCCCCGCCGCTGCTTCTGGCCCCGCCTCTGCTGCTGCTGCTTCTGCCTTCCAGTCCTGCCTCATCCAGCTGGGCTATTTGCAGGAGGAGAGGTAGGCGTGAGGCAGGTGAGCTTTCTCCCCCCCCCGTGCGCGCGCAAAATTTGGCCGGAAAATAAACTGTGATAAAAAAACTGTGATAAAAAATAAATAATTTTTAATAAATAATTAATAATAAATAATAAAAACATCTCACTAACTTTATTTCCAAATAAATTTAATATGTTAACTATGTTTTCTATGGTTTTTTGGGATGATCGGGTATCGTTACTGTTATTTTATTTTATGTGCGGCCCAAACCAAATTTTCATCTTCTAATGTGGCCCAGGGAAGGTGAAAGGTTGGACACCCCTGATCTAGATCTTTATGCACTGAGCATTCTTGATACTATACAGAATATTTACAACAGTAATATCCTCAGAGGCAGGTCTGAAAGACATTAACATAATATATGAGTTTAACATATCCATCCATGGAAGAGATTGTCTGCCTGTTGGCTTTCTTCCTGAGCACTAGTTTGGCTCTTACCTCTTTGTAGCCAACTTCTAGTGGAAATAGAACTGCCCATGTCTGCAGATGCCACCAGAGCATTCAAGCACATTCAGTGCAAAAACACAAATAGATCTGTTCTGCAGGGATGGGTACTTGGTGCAGCCTTGTTTTAGCTTGCCTTCTACTGGAGAGACCCACAAAATAAGTAATTTTATATAGATATGCAATGTAGATAATTGCTATATATAGCCTCATTCTAGAACCAGGATAGGTAACCCCATTGGCTCATTGGTTATATGTAGCCTCCAGATCATTGTTATGGTGCTACAGTCTTCTGCTCCCACTTTCAATATTTGGCTGCAACCTTTACAAAATTTAGCAATGTAATTGTCCAGGTGTTAAAAAAAATACCTCAAGCAAAATAAGCTTAATGCTTTTATTTTATGGCACAACACAAACAAGAAGCCAATGTTTTCAGCACTGCCTCTTCCAAGAGCCATGTAAGATCTTACTTCTTGGCCAATTTTTTCTCATGCAGAAGTTATGGATATAAGGAGAACAAGCGGGATAAAGAATAGTCCCTGCCAGTTCCCTGATGGAGAGAGAAATATCAATAATGCAAGTACAGGTTTACATCAGTTTACAACAGTTCGTTTAATGACCGTTCAAAGTTACAATGGACTGAAAAAAGTAACTTATGACTGTTTTTCACACTTATGACCGTTGCAGCATCCCCATGGTCATGTGTTCAAAATTCAGATGCTTGGCAATTGACTCACGTTTACGACGGTTGTAATGTCCTGGGATCCCCTTTTGCGATCTTCTGACAAGTAAAGTCAATGGGGAAGCCAGATTCACTTAACAACCATGTTACCTAACTATGGCCATAAAATGGGCCAAAATTCACTTAACAGCTGTCTTGCTTAGCAACAAAAATATTGGGCTCCATTATGGCTGTAAGTCCAGGAGTACCTGTATAGTATCTATAAGATCACTGTATTTTGGTTGAATGAATGTTAAGGTTGAATATTATTGCGGCCACACAATGGTCATATTGACACGGTGCAGTAACCCACAAAGCTTAGTTAGCACAAGTATGCCCACAAACATTTTTTTTAGGGCACCCCAGCTATCAAACCAGATGTCTGTGGTTTCCTTGCTGTTGAATTATTGTGCTAACAAGACAGATGCAGCTATGGCTAGAAGTACTGTAAGTACTGTACATCCTGTTTTTAAAGAAGTTGCTTAATTATAAACAAACAATATATGGGTGTTTCTATAACTATATATGTGGCAAGGTAGGGGAGGAGTCAGCAAGTTTATTCACATTCACTAAGCCTTACAAATTACTCTATATGTGGTCAGAGTTCTGCCAACGAATGCCATTTTTAAATCTGCAAAGCAAGCAAGCTATCTAAAACCATGTAGCTAAATCCATCGTTTCAAGGAAACCTTGCCCTCCCTGTCCCCTCCCCTCAAAAAAATAAAGGAAGAGATCAATCCCTCACTATTGATTAAAAAAAACAGTATTAAGCTATATTGTAAAAAAAAAAAAGGTAAAGGTTTCCCCTGTCCAATCATGTCTGACTCTAGGGAACGATGCTCATTTCTGTTTCTTGGACATGGGGAGCCAGTGTTGTCCGAAGATATTTTCTGTGGTCATGGAGCCAACATGGCTATATGCCAAAGGTGCACGGAACACTATTACCTTCCCCACCGAAGTGGGGAAGTGGTACCTATTAATCTACTTGCATTTGCACACTTTCAAACTGCTAGATGGGCAGGACCCGGGGCAAGGAACAGGAGTTCACCCCATTGCACGGCGCTCAGATCTCAAACCTGGGCTGTCACTTTTTCAGCTGACAAACTCAGCACCTTTAACTGCAGTACTTAAGGTTAATTCATTTATGACGGTTGTATGTTGCAAATACCTATGTATTTTTCCATCTATTCTAGAAATAACGTTCCTTCTGAAGAGATGCGCAGAGTGGGAAAACTAATCAAATCACAAAGAAAATGGCTTGCCCTTTAATCCTTTTAGATCAATTACTATATACCAATTCAGCCTTGCAAAATCACATGACTTTAGATTCCATGGGACTGGAGTGGTTTAGAAATTGCTTTGAATAATTATTTTATTTCTGAACTTCTAAATATAATACAATGCACTTGACATGAAGGAAAGTTGCCTCTTGCAGAGACAAAGAACAAATGGATACATAGAAAGACAGTTTTATTCAAATTTGCCCAAAAGGAAAGTGATACGGAATTTAAGACACACGCCTTAAGCACAACTCATACACCCCCATTGTTTGCATCCTTTCCTCTCTTCTCGGTGAACTAAATGAAACTTTCTCATTGTAAAGGCAAATTAATTAGAGGAAAACAGTTAAGGCAACCTGTCTGGAAGAGCAAATACTGTACTGCTTTTCTGCATGAATAGTCGTACCTCAATTTAGAATATATATATTTTTATAAAGGCAGCGATAAACAGAAACACACCTATAAGATTAACTGTTACTTTGCAGTATCATTATAAATTCCTAACATCTTCCTCACCCAGAAAGTTTTGTTAGCTTTTTTTGTGTGTGTATGCTTTTGAATCACTATTGGATGAGCTCTCATATTTCTTCGCTATAGGTATGAAAACATTGTATGAATCAACTAAAGCTTATTCAGAGGATTACATAATTATGACTTTTTTGTATAATATCCACAACTTTTAATTTGTTATATACTTAAATGTTACATATACACGCAAAACTTTTCAAGAATAGACAAATATTCTCTCTCTCTCTCATATTAACTAACTTAGTTTTATATTTTGCTTTGGAAAATTAGTGCTGTTAATTTAAATAAACTTCACAATGATTAGCATATTGTGCTGAAATTTTCAAATAATAATTTTTCCCCCTAAAGAAAAAAAAATTAAAACTGGACATTTTTAGCTGAAGCAGTTGAACTGAAATAGAAGATAATAGTATAAGAGTGCTTAAATTAACTTTTAACTACAATATATTTATTACATTTATATTCTACCTCTAATCCAGAAGCCCAATCCTATCCCCCACAAAACCAACAGTTTTGGGGAATAGATTAGGGCAAAACTAGATCAAGGTTCCACACCATGTTTCCATGGCTAAGAGTACACTACAACTTAGGCCTTCCCATGACTGTTGCAACACCTTAATCTCTACACCGTGCTATGTTCCTCTATATGAGTAAGAAGGACTTAATACATAATTGCTTTATAAAACCTGTATGCAAAATACATATTAGTTAAGTTGTTCTTTACCACCTACCTGCACTGGCTCCTCCAAAACCCCACTGCAGATGGGGCAAATAAGATCTTCATCAACATCCCCTTGAAAACGTGCTACATCATACCCCATTTCTCATCACCGATGCCAAAACGCTGGGGTGGGGGGAAAAAGCAGGAGGAAGAAAAATTATGTATGAATTTTCATGACAAGAAGCTCTACGCATGCATTTCAAAAATGTTATTTGGGTGGAATCAGTTAGAAATCCTTCATCTAACTAGGCTGCCTGCCTACTAACCTGATATGGCTGCCTGCTAAGTCACAGATTCACAGAGAAAACTACAAGCCTCTAAGGAACAGGATGTCACACGACAGAGAAAAAAACAACCTGACTCAGTCCCATTTTCTCTAGGATTAATTTTCCACAGTTTTACTAGGCTATTACTACCAGATTAGATACTTCACTCCATACTATGTTATTATTCACTTCTTTGTATGCAGTTTGATATGCAATAGACCTCAACTTACAACCATTCATTTAATGACCATTTGAAGTTATAATAGTGCTGAAAAAACTGACTGACAGCCATTTTTCACACTTATGACCGTTGTAACATTCCCCAGGGTCACATGATCAAAATTCAGATGCTTGGCAAATGCCATGTATTTATGACGGCCTGAGGTCATGCGATCACCTTTTGAGACCTTTTGGCAAGCAAAGACAATAGGGAAGCCAGATTCACCTAACAACAGTGTTACCAACTTCACAACCGCAGTAATTCACTTAACTGGGGCAAGAAAAATAATAAAACGGGGCAAAGTTGACTTAACAGCTGTCTTGCTTAGTAATGGAAATTTTAGATTCAATTGTGATTGTAAGCTGATGACTACCTATATTCCACACTCTTCTTTTCCATTTTTGCGGGAACCAGAATATATAGGCATCTGACTGTATATACTGAAGGGGAAGGCATTCTGGAAATCTGAAACTAAATGTTTAATGGTGGATCAAGGTATTTCTAGCTATCGCCTTGCTGAAAAAAAGAAATAAATCAAGTTACTCCTAATGTCAGAGAGCAAAATATATATCTTTGCTCAGGAGAGACTACTTCTCAAGAGTATACAAAGCATAAATCTTTCCCCAGAATGTCACAGTAGTCAGAAGTGTTTGCAAGAGTACATTAGAAGTAAACTTTCCTTATTCTCTTAGGACTAACTTGGCACAATTATCTGCAGACATTTTTTACTAGAAGTTGGAACATTTTTGAAAAGCTTGGGATGATTCATTTAAACCTTTTCTTTCTAACATCTCAACAGGATATATCATTTTCTGTTCTGTCACCTCTTCCCTTCATCTTTGCTGTCCTCCCCTTTCTCTATTCTTCCTTTCCCAGTCTTCTTTCCCAGACTTCTTTTTTTTTCTATGTCTGCTAGAAGACTGTGCATTTATTTGCATGTGCATGATTAGTGTGTGTAACAAAATGGTTAATTTCTGCAGATACAGGATCAATTCAGTTTATAAAAGGGGTATTTTAATCTTCTCTTTAACAATGCTTGCAATCCTGCAGAAATGAGAGCCAAAAGGTCACAGGGAAGTAAAACTCAATAGCAGAACAATATATATTGATTTATAGGTAACTAATTTTAATCTGCTATTATTCTGGCCCTGTCTTTCGGGGAAATGTGTGTGTATGTGTCAATGCACTTGTTTGCAGGGAAGAGAAATTTTCAGGTTTCCTCACAGGTGACACAGGCACACATTGTCAAGGCTGGGAAGATAGACATTGCCTAGTATTATGCTTTTAATTTAATCTTCTTTTTTGTTTGTATGAAGGTTATCTTAAATCCTGCTTACCTTCCTCTTGGATAAAAAAAACATTACTCATCAATATTTAGGACACTTTTCATTAATTATTTTACACAGCAAAAAAGTTAATGCTGAAAAAAAAATCAGCCTGGCTGGTCACTTTGAATGGACAATAGAGAAAAAGTTATGTACAACCAGCAGCACCACTAAGCTCTACTATAGAATATACAAATCATAGTCAGTCTATTCTGTCCAGAACGATCCTGTTTGAACAGAGGACAGCAGCCATTCAAATTACTCAATACTCACAAGTTTTGCAAAGAAGATCAAGATGAATCATACTTGAAAGGAAAAGGACACCTATGGATTTTTTTTTTTACTGAACTGCACACAAGCCTATATCAAGACCAAATCTCAACTTAAAAATGTTCCAATATTATAACCATTGGAACTTTATAAAGGCACAATCAGGCCTTGCCAGGCTGTGCTTGTTCCCTGCCACCCATCAGCAGGCTCCCCTACATCTGGCAGCAGCTACCTCTGCCTGGCCATGCTTGTGCTGTAGCAGCCACTTATCAACCTACTGACCTTTTCAGGATTTGCAACTTACTGCCAGCATCCACTGACTTTGCTTATTGGAAGCCAGAAGGAAATTATAACAGATCCTTCTTAATGATGGTAACCAGAGTCTGCTGGAATTGCTGTCATTAAATGATGCCTTCATAATATCACGCTTTACAATTGCATTGCTTAACAATGGAAATTCCAGTCCAAAATTACCATTGTTAAGAAAGGAATACCTGTCACCTTGCAGAAAATGAAACTGCCCTAATGGTTCAAAGAGAGGGCTTTCTTTCATACTAGTACAAATTCTTTTAAAAAAAAATTTTTTTATTAGAATTTTATTAGAATTTTTAAATGGATAAAATTTAAGCATGAAACAATACAGAAATCAAATTAAAAAGGAAATAAGAGAGGAAAAATGCAGGAAAAGGAAAATATATTTAAAGAAGTAACTTCCAGCAGTTACAAACAAGCTTGGTATCAAATCTATCTTGAAATCACATTACTTAGTTCACTTCTTACCATATTTCAACCCTTTTTAATTGACAAATCAAGAAATCATCAATTTATTCCTGTCCATTTTCAACAAAAAGTCCACAAAGTGTTCCAGTGTTTTATAAAAGTACTTATCCCTAAATCAAGCAAGGCAATTTTGTATTATTTTCTTTTGCACAATACTTTTCTTTTTTTTTTTTAATTTTTGTAGTCTCAATTACAATTATGTTACATAATAGCTCTTATTTTCTTTTTTTTCATATAAATTTTATTGAATTTACAATTAAAAAAATAACATAACAACATTACATAAGAAACAGAGAGAGAAAAAGAAGAAAGAAAGAAGAGAAAGAGAGAGGGAAAAAAAAAAAAACGCTCGGTCTTGCGACGGAAAAGAAGAAAAAGAAGTATAAAAGAGAGGAAAAAAAAACAAAGAGACGGAAGAAAAAAGAAAATACGTTAAAACCAGACAGATATTCTTTTTGACAGTCTACAAGATCCAATTCTCCTACCTTACTTTAAATATACACATCTTATCGCTATTTATGGTTATTTATGCTTATTTATGCTCATTGAACAGTTTATCTCTGATATAACCAATTATACCACGTATTCCAATTATTATCAAATGCTGAAGACTCTTTATTTTAAGAGCTATGGTTAAATTGTCCATTTCTGCGCAGTCACATATTTTCTGAATGACCAATTGATCTGTAGGTAAACGGGATGATTTCCAGCACTGGGCAAATGCTAATCTGGCCGCAGTTAGAATATGAATTCAATAGTTATTTAAACTTTAGCTTAGTGTTGTCTTGTATTCATCCTGACAAGGTGCATAAGTACATTACTTAATACATTAACTTTTCATTTCTTGTGTTAATTCTACACAGCTTGTCCAATTCAACATCCATTGATGCCTACTTCCTCCCATTCTAAAAATATTTTTAGAATTTTAACATCATCTCCTTACTATCTTCACGAAATTGTCCTATAGCTGTTTGCAGTCTCAAGCAGCCTTCATTCTTTTAAACTCAGTAGTACTCACATTTTCTAAATCTTTTTCCCCTTCTGGCTTATTGTTTCTGTTTCACTCATTTTTACTGCAGATTTTTCAATTTTTTTATTTTTATCTTTTCTTCTGTATTTAGTACACCCAAGGACCAAAATTATTCAAAATTTAGTAATAAGCATAAACTCAACATATTCTGTAGGCAAAACAGAAAATTTTTTGACAAAACTCTTATAAGGTGATTTGGTAAGAGTTCTGGAAACTTTTCAGTGTAATTACCCAGATACTGGTTTAGTGGAAACAAATATGATTTGAGGTTCAAATAAGTTAAAAAATATGAAAGACCTTTAACCATAAAAGCCATATTGTTTTAAAATTAAACTTAGGGGAAACACTAAACCAACCCCCTTTACTGCAGAAGCCTAACACGTTAAAGCAATGTTTGCAAATTTTTAGTTCAATGTGTAGGGAAATCAAAATTACTCAGCAGACCCCTCCATACTTAAATAATTAGATAACTTAATTTTATTATAGTACTCTAGGAAAACAAAATATACAATATGCCACAAGTATTGCAAATGTAAAGTAATTTAAATAACCACAAATAGAATCAGCAACAAAACATGTGACATGTCAATTTAGAGACTGTCCAATTGAGTTGGATGGCCAATACACTTAAATAAACAAATAAAATTGAGAATTAAGCTGGTGGATTTCAAAATACTTTATATTTCAAGATATTGATGGATTTTATGTTGAAATGCATTCCTAAGAGATATTTTAGTAAGATAAATCTGCAAAACAATTCTAGACCTCAATATCCAAGCTGACTTTCCAGTTGCAATTTATAACCAGTTGCAATTCTTTTCATATGCCAAACTAAAAATTACATACTATAGAATTACTTTCACATAAAATCAGTTTTTTGGCCTCAAAATGAAAAAAAAAAGTTCTCTCCTTTCCCCAAATGTTAAGCTATTTGGGCTAATTTATGAGTAAGACAAATCCTCTACCTACTATAAATTGTGTTAGATCTCTTTTCAGATATCTAATTATATCATGTGGCTGTAATTGGCTGCTAACAGAAAGTACCACAGCTGTATAAAGCTTTTTAACCTGGTCAGCAACAAGATGGAAATGAATTAAAACTGCATGCTACTCCTCTTACTACAATGCAGAGATCTAGCCACCTTTTAATTATCTTCTATTTGAAATATTCTGTACTTTACAGAACATTAATTTCAAATGCTTAGCCTACCTACTGTGTAGATACATAATGTAATATTATAACTGCATGTATGTTATTACTACAAGTAGCTATTTGCAAGCTACAAATATGATTAATCACATAAAAATTACAACATATATAAATAAAACATTACTTTGAAAATAACATCCATATTTTAATCTATATCAATATTTATATTCAACCTGCTGTAATACACCAAAACTGCCCTTCAGAATTACTACAAAATGAGGATGGTATTCCGTTGGACAATCCAACAACCTCTAATTCACTCTAACACCTGGCAATTAAAAATTTAGCAATTGTAATTAATCACAGTTAGCATTTATATTTCTCAATGTGGGGTTCTTAGATCTAGGAGCTGAACAGCAGAAAAATATAGTTTATCAACACATTGAAATAAATCACATTTACACATCATTCAGAAGAAATAATAAAAAGCTAAGAAGGAAACAAAAAAAACCCCCAGAAGATATGCTCTACAGCCCAGATGTCAAACTCACTGGGTCACGTTACTATCACATGACATTTTGTAACATTTCCCCCCTTTGAGGAGCTGGGGTGGGCGTGGCCTGCACATGATGCATCCGGCCCATAGGCTGCCAATTTGACACCCCTGCTCTACAGCAACCAACACCCAGATAAGCAGGGATTAACACCAGACAATCAAGCAGAAAACAATACCTTAATCAAAGAACAGCCATGGAGAAAACCACACCCTCATCAGCTGCTGTTTATAAAGAGAGCAAACCCCACACTCATCAGTACTGATGATGTTACCTAATTGGGTAATGAGACATCTGCAAGCAAACAATAAAGCTCAGACCACACCAAGAACTCCCCAGTTCAACCTTAAGTTCAACCTTAAGCTACATTCACCCTCTTCTATTGCAAGTTCAGTTCCCAGCAACTTCATAGAAAAATCTATGTAACTTTCTTGCCAGCAAAAAGACAATAGCTTGTCATTTGCTTTCTTCTGGAATTTTTAAAATTCAGTATTAGGCTACAGAGATAATATTCTTTGGCAATTTATGTAACTAGAATCAAGTTTGAATAACATCTGAGCCCAGGTAAGAATAGCTAAGCACAGACATCTGCTGAGACTTACCAGCAGCACCCACTTTTCCAGATTAGATCACATAATGAGTCTGTTCAGTTAAACACCGGACTTCACCAGAAAATGAGATATACCTATAAAAGTAAACAGTGTATTGACTTCTAGAAGAAACAATTGTTTTACCTTCTGCAGCAGAATTTCTTCCTGAATAGCAACAAGACAATGCTGATGTTGCGTTCCTCTTCTGAATTGAACTCTCACCATGGCCCATTTTTCTCTCTCTTCTTATTCAGATTAAGTCATTGTTTATCTTAACTGCCAGAATCTGTGGTTCATAAGAGGATAAATAATTTAACAGAAAAAATTTTTAAAAAATTATACCAGTTATGGCATGTCGTGTTAATGCCCTACTATTTTTAGTAACAGCAGAGTAGTACAGTACACAAAATTATGTACATTTTCTTCATCATTTGCTCTATACACGGAATGCAAGAATTAATATTCAGCTCATTTCCACACCCTTAGGCAAAGCAACATATTTTTCAAATAAGTCAGACATAATATTTGCAACATATTATGTCTGACTTATTTGAAACATTTCACAACAACGTATATTTTCAGCCTTCTCTGACCCTTAATTCTCCCAATTCTAAGTAGTTTACAGTGAGAAGATGCTTCATGTTTAGCTTTGCTCAGGATGTACCCTAAAAATAATACTTGGTGCTTTTTTAGTGACAATAGCAAATAGCAACAAGATTAAAGATCAAAAAAAGCATTCACTGTTCACATGAGTTTTCATTTCATAATGTTCTGCTTCAAATACTAATGATGCCTCATTTCATATCAACAGATATTTTACCCATTTGATTTAAATAGTCATCTACCATTTTTACCAAAAAATTGAAATCACACATAAGAGCTTTTATTTTTAGGTGAAACCCGCAATCCCATTCTTGGGTCTAGCTACACAGAAGGTTCAGATCAGAAAACCAAGTACAGACACTGGCATTTTATATTTTTTCCCTAGAAATCTATTATCCCACTGTGCTGGGAACAGCTAAGACCGGATGCATCATACAACATACGAAGGAACCTATAGATTCTATTATGAGCAAATGTATAAATACAAATGTACACAATACTGTATAAAGAAACAGAAAAGAAACAAGAAAGGGCTTTAAGAGATGAAAGTTAAACAACTGTTCTTCACCTGTTTCATGTAAGACAAGCTGAGATTTGCATCACAACAGTCACAGGCAGGAATTAGATCAGTCAGCCTATCATTTTTGAAGATATTACCAAAAATAGTTTAATTTTTAGAAGAACATATTCAGCATGTATATCAGGCTACTTCTTACTTCCAAACAGATTTTAAACAAAGTTGCATCACAATCCCTGTTTATTATATGTGATCATAATAGCTGATATGCAGAATAATAATGATAATAATATGCAATCGGAACCTTATTATATGAAATATGATCTTGTTTCTTTGGTTTGAAAAATAGCCTGGGCCTAAAAAAACATTCCCTTGGTTGTAAACTGCACAACTGAACAAAAGTAGCAACAACCTGCTTTACTCTCAGAAACAAGATTTGTTCTCTGCTAAATATGCTCCTAAACTGAAGTATGAATATGCCTTGAAATTTTAGAGGAAATGCTCTATTTCTGCTACTTACCCACCTTAAGCAAGGACGTTGTTGTTATAAGATTCTTCCTCAGATGTTGCTCAGATGCTCTTAAATACTTTTTTGCCACTACACTGTTTCAGTTCACCATACATGTCCAAGCATTATTCCTTCAGCTGCTCCTCAATTTTACAAACCACCCCCACAGCACTCTGTTATTCAACAGAAATTTAACCTCCAGAACCTTAGAATGGAAGGGAAACAGAAACACCTGCCAAGAATAGTCAATCCCCACAACATAATTTACTTGGATTCTTCAAACTGGCTATTGAATTAATCCTCACTAAAGATAGGCTTCAATTTCTCTCTTGATTTTCAACCTTCAATCAAACTTGCTCTTCTTTACTTGATTATCATTCCCTCAATATCATCAAAGCTCATTTCAAAACCATCTTAACAACTGGGCATCCCTACCGTAATATTTTTCTCTCTCATAAATTTGTTACTATACCTTCCCCAAGATTACACCATCCGAAGATCAAATCATTATAATATGTTTTTTTATAATTAGTGTGTTCATTCAAATCCAGGTCTTCAATTGACATATTTATAAAAAAAGCTAAAAGTTTTTTTGTTGGTGGTTCATCTTGGCTCTAATTTCCTAGGTCATCTGGATCTCGAAGGCAATATTAATTGAAGGATGATCCTCTCTGTCAGCCTTTGGACATAGATGGGAGCTTGTTTCCCTTTCTCCCAAATCTATTTCATTTTTCCAACCTAATCAGTTTCTCTCCTAAAAACCTGCAACCATGAAACATCAGCAAGAAACCACCATGATGATTAACAACACAAATATGATTATTAAGCTGGAACTGGCTTTACTGTGTTGGATTGTTTGCAAACACATTTCAATTACCAATCTATCTCCTCCCCAAAACACTGCTAATCTCTCTCATTAGTAATGATTTCGGTCTATGTAGGTTGCTTTGTCCTTTTTTAAATACTCTAATCTCTTTGGAGGTCATTCTGTTAAAACATAAAAAGCAGCATTTAAACTGAAAACTATACAATTATACAGTCATATTACACACATTATAATTACATCACATTATTCCTTTTCTGGGTAAGCAATGCTATACAAAGCATAAAGAAATAATAAGAAAACCTAACTCAAAGAAATTAAGGCACGACATAACGAAAAGAGAAGAAAAGATTAAAACTAATTACAGCAGCATCATTCACTATATCTCTTGATCTTTCTTTCCTCAAATCACTCTTTTCTACAATATTCATACGCTATGTCATATTTCTTTTTTTTTAAAGTATTCTCTTTTTTGAGCATCTTATAGTCTGTGCAAAATCTGATCCACATACTTCTTGCTTACCAGTCACACTGCACTTTCCAAATTTTGTTCATTATCAAATTCAAACACCTTCCCAGGGTTACTTGGTAAAGTAATTCTCTTGTAGTTTTTGTAGTTCCTCTTCTTATCCTATCCCTTCCAATAGTCTTTGACTTATGACCAGTTGCTTAACAACTGTTTGAAGTTATGACTCTCCCCAAAAAGGTATTTATGACCCCAAATTCAAAATTCTAATGGCTCCTGCATTTTGAGCTCTTAGCAACAAGCTAACATTTATAGCAGTTTGCAATGTGACTTAGGTTTACAATGGTTTTGCTGGAAACCAGCATTTGCTTTCAATTTCTGGCAAAAAAAAAAAAACCCAACAAAACCTCCCACTGTGGACGAGTTCACTTAATGAACACCACACACACAAAAAAATCACAGAATCAGGTGGGTCAGCACTTAATGAATGACACAAGTTACAACTGTAATTCCAGGCTCAATTTCTGTCATAAGTCAAGAACTACCTGTATCTTGAGAAACAACAGCAGCAAGCATTCAACAATCAAAAGTATATTTCTCACACACATAAAAGTTGTACAACCATTCCATAAGCAAATCATATCCACACTTTTCCTAGTTTGTACAATCTAATCCAGCAGCACTACCATTTTTAAATATTCTGATAGCACTTACTACTCCTCTTTCATCCATTTTTGGACACTTAATATTTAAACTTCATTTTATTTTTATTCTTAATACTTTCAATATCATTTCCATACAAATATCTAAAATACTCCTTCCAGCATTTCCAATGTCACTTTTTAAAATTCCGATCCAATCTGCTGGAAACTCATTTATTTTTTCCAAAGCACTGTTTGATATTTAATTTCTATCAAAATTTCCATTTTGCATTTCCTCTGCCTCTTTGAATTGTAACTATGACTTTTTCTTTGTATTTACGTTCTTTGTAAATATCTCTTTTAGTATATAGTTACATTGCACCTTTCCTTCATCCTTATTTTTTGCAGCAATCATCCTCTTAGATGTATCACATTCAACCCTCCCAAGCATCTTTTTTCATACTTCCTAGTGCAGGGGTGCCAAACTCATGGGCCAGATGCGTCACGTGCTGGCCACGCCCACCCCCATTTTAGCAAAGGGGAGGAAAGTCACGATATGTCACGTGACGACGCAAGTTTGACACCCCTGTCCTAATGTAACACTATATACTCCTGTAACACATGTAACTATTTCCCTTCTGTTCCAAACATTTTACCCATTCTCTTTTCTATGCTCAGTTTCCATTTATTCTGTTGGAAGATGAATTCTCTAATACTTTTTCATATAGGACTCATACTTTCATTCCTGTTTTTTATATGTCCATTTTCCCTGAGATCCAGTCTTTTTAATTTTTATATATATATATATTTTAATACAAATAATACAAATATAATACATATAAATTTAAAAAAGGAAAAAAAATACAAATATTACAGACTGAGATCCAGTCTTGACTCCAATACTGGATGTCCTACATTCAAGACTTCTAATCACTGCAGCCTTCATTAATCTTCTCAATCTTTCATCAAAAACAATAAAAATCAATCATGCTTTTTTATTTCTATTCAAAACAGATTTTCTAAACTTTCTAAACAACCATCATTCTCATCCATAGGTCTCTAAATGCCCCACCAACCTTTTCTGTGTTCTTTCATTTCATTTCCATCCGTTTTATTTGCTTAATACAGAGTAGATTAGGATGTCAGTCTTAGTCATTCTTCTGCCATGCACAACAATTCTTAGGACAGTATTGGCACATTTTGGCCAAGCAACCTAAATGTAACCAAAGCCTATTTCGCTTCAAGTATGCTAACTTTATTCTATGCAAGCTGAAATCTCTAATCTAAAGACTACCTTTCAAGCCAACATGCTCTTAACTACAATTTATTAACCAAAATGCAGTATATTTATTCCCTTTGGAAAAGAGCTCAAAATGGTTAGCTCTGATCTTCTACTCTGATAGAGGTCCGGTTCACCTTTTTTTAATCTTCACTTAAGTACCCTTTGTAAAATTTTGCAAGTAAATTTTGCAAGAATCTGACCAGGTAAAATATGCTCCTGCTGTTTTTTCACATTAGCTCCTGAGCCCCACACTTTCTTCACCAGCCCAACCACACTTCTTGGAAATAACCCACGGGCTACTCCCAAATCTCATTCAATTGTACCATTAAGCTGAAGAACAAAACCGTTTAGTTTATTAAGGCTCAAATGCAGGCAGTAGTTTTGGCTAGGAGAGCCTTTGCTCAACTTCGTGTTTACACCAGTTGCACCTGGAATTGAGGCCCTCCTGCACATAGTCACTCCTGCCTTGATAGCCTCTGTTAAATTGCTGCAATGTGCTCTACATGAGGCTATCCTTGAAGATTATTCAGAAGCTGCAGCTGGTGTAGAATGCAGCTGTACACAGAGTTCTGGGCCCTCCTAGAGTGGCACATATAAGACTGCTGTTACATTAATTGCATTTGTACCAGTTTGCTTCTGGGTCCAATTCTAGGTATTACATTTATGGCCTTACAATGGCATGCATCCAGGATACCTGTGGAATTATCTCAAGGCAACGGACCTAGCTTGTCCCACTAGCTCCAGTGGAAGGGCCTGCTGTAGACACCATCTGCTAAGGAATTCCGATGGATGGGGTCAAGAAAAGCCTTTTCCACAGTGAACCAGAGGTGTAAATTCCTCCCACCCTTCTGGATGAAGGTGATGGATCCCTGCGCTCTCTGTCTCATTGGATCTAGTTTCTTATATAGATTTTTTTAAACATTGTAATTGTTTCTATATTTATCTTTCTACTGTTTGTTAAGTTGCCCAGAGTTGACTTACCAGTGAGTTGGCATATCAAGTTAATAAATGACCAGTTAGACCAGTGGTAGTCAACCTGGTCCCTACCGCCCACTAGAGGGCGTTCCAGCTTTCATGGTGGGCAGTAGGGGTTTTGTCCCCTACTTTATAAATCACCATTACTGTGGAACCAGTGGGCAGTTAGAGCAAATTTTACTACTAACAGAGATACAAAAGGGAGCGGTAGGTATAAAAAGGTTGACTACCCCTGAGTTAAGAATGTAACAGGAGGCAGGGGGACATTTATCCTGGTAGGTCAGGACTTTCTGGTTATAGTTAAAAAGATAACCACGTATTATTAAAAAAACGAAATGAGGGGGGGACGACAAAACGGAGCTGGAGTTGTAAGTTCTGGAGGGTTTGATTTTATTTACTTTTTTATTTGAAACGTGCCTTCTCTTTTCTGCAGCAAAACGGAGCTTAAGTGTTTTGGGTTTAGATTAAGAGATGAAAAGAACGGCTTTTTTTTTTTTGCTTCCGAAAAGCAATCCCACGCATAGCTCTCAATGTGGCTTGAGCGTTCGCGGATGGTCTCCAAATGGCACAGTTCTACCACATGGAGACATCCTTACTTTTGCTCCGGGAGCTCGAAAACGGGAGAAAGACTGTCTTTTGCCTAGCCTAGTCCCGTAACAACAACCCTCCGAGGTAGGCCGGGCTACACAAAAAAAAAAAAGACGGGGAAAAAAAAGCAAATTCTATTGGGGAATTCTGCGGCTGGTTGGGAATTCCCACCACCACCACCGCTACTCTGGCTTGTCAGGGAGCCCTGCCCCCCTTCCTCTCGCCGAGGAACCTTCTGCCGCCCGTTCTCAGAACAAAACGCCTCCCCGCCACCGCCGTCCTTCCACCAAAACGGAGCTAGGGACCTGCACGGTCCGCCGCACGGCGCCCATCCGCTGCCCTTTCCCAGCACAAGCGTCTCGGCACCGACTTGCCCCCTGCCCGTCTGCCAGGCGTGTCCGCCTCTTGAGCTCCTCCGCTCAGTCAACCCCCTTCCCCGGAGCGCTCCCACCCGCAAAGCAAACCCCCAGCGCTCCCGCTCCCCACTCCCTTGGCAGCCGAGCCCAGGCCTGCAGCGCCTTTTCTTTTCTCCCCGTTCGCTTCCAAGCCACAGTCACGGACCTCTTTCGGCTCCCCTCTAGGCACCGGCCGCCGCGCCGCCGTTCTCCCCTCCATCATTCCCCCTCCTCCCAGACCGCCACCGGAAACACGCCAAACCTCAATACGGATGCAGGGAATCCACCCTCCTCGGGCAGCAGGAAACGCTGGGGCAGGGCTGAATCCGGGCCGCTCTAGCCACCGGGCCAAAGGGGTGGTTTTTTAATGGTTGGTTTTGCTGGCAGATGGGCGGGGTCCGCTCCGCTCCTCGCACGAAGCCAAACAAAGGGATCCCAGAATGGATCTTCTAACCTGGAAGAATCTGATCGCGAAGCGGGGAGGCTTCCCTGCTTGCCTGTTGTGTTGCTGCCTTCTTTACGAGGAAGTGTTTGGAATGTGGTGTGATTCCCCAGGGACTCCAAACACGCGGGCATTCACACAGTCGATCATCGCACTTCAATGAGTCCTCTTCCCAAAGCATCATATTACCTGATCTTCAAGTAATGCTGGTGTTTTAAAAATGGGAACCGGGTTAAAGGCCAGAGCGAATCAACATTCCTGCACAAAGGCAGAAAAAAAAACACCAGACATGTATATTTGCAAAACTTAACTGGAACTTTTGTCTTTACTAGAGTAGCCCTTGAGCTCTAGGTAAAATGGGGGTTTTCAACATTCTTTGTTCTGACAAGGAA